GACAATTTCAATCATTCGGCGGATAAAGTTATTGCGATGATCAAGATGCAGATTCTTCACCGAATGGCCTGGAAGACAAGAAAGAAGATTATGAGTAGGTCATAATTATTCCCATTTTTTTAATAAGAAGTCTCATTGGGTCAAGATGATACTAAATGAGTCATAATTAGTCTAACTAGATGTTAATCTGTCTAATTGAGTGAGAATGGGTCTTAAGGGTCCTTAATGGGTCCATTTGGACATTAGTGGGTATAATGGGCCTATTTTTTTAATCGAGTCAATTTGTTTAAAATGACACCAAATGGGTCATTAACTAATTTGATTTGACCAAAATTGGTTTAAAAGGCCCATTTCTAAGGAGTGTAATTCACTAAAAATGACACTAATTTGGTCATATTTAGTTTGATCAGACCTTAATGCGTATGTAATATTCGGGTTATTAAATAAGATTTAATAATTTAAATCTTTACTTTTATGTAAATATTTTATATTATTGTGCATGTGAGTGTGGAATTGTGATGGGAGGCGGTTTATGCACTTGCTATTTATAGCAAGTGCATATGAAAGGAAAGGTTTTGTTGTTGGATATTCTGGAGAACAAAAATCAATTGAGAGTAAAGACTGAAGGAGGATTTGCAGACTTGAATTCAATCAAAAATCAAAGGTGAGTGTATTAAAGCTTTGAGTATAAAATTGTTTGCATACAATTCAGTAGTTATTAGGACTGGTTATTTATGATTTATTGTTCATATTGTGCGGATATTTCCTTAAATCGTCCATGTGATGACCGGATTGATATACGGACAATTTCATCCGGATTATAAACCGCTCAAGCGTTGTCCGGATCTTATCTAAATTGGACAAGGGTTGGACGATGTATTTTCCGGATTACTTTTTAAATCGGTCAAGGGTTGGACGATGTATTGTCCGGACTATTTTAATCAGTTAAGTTGTGAGCGGGGTATTGTTCGGACTTGATATTTGGACAAAGATATTAACTTAATTCTAAGTGTTAACCGGACAAAACTTATATACGAGGTGCTGTCTGGATTGTTGACCGGAGATGATGGTTACTCTTGATAATCTAAGTGATTGTCCGGATTACATATCCGGACAAGGTTGACCGGACTTCAAATCCGGTTAATGTGTTGAAATGTTTTTGAAATGTTTTGAGATGTAATGAAGGTGTAACCGCGAGAGAGATGTAATGGCGGTGTAACCGCGAGAGAGATGAAATGCCTGTGTAACCGCGAGAGAGATGAAATGCCTGTGTAATCGCAAGAGAGATGTAATGGCGGTGTAACCGCGAGAAAGATGAAATGGCGGTGTAACCGCGAGAGAGATGTAATGGCGGTGTAACCGCGAGAGAGATGTAAATAAGTTTATGTATCAGAGCAGGTTTGATTCTAAACTGATTGTTTGGAAAGTATGTTGTTTGTTTGAGATTTATACACTCACTAGACCTTTTTGGTCTAACGCTCAGCTGTTGGACTAACCTGTTTTGCAGGTCATCATACCTCGCAAGATAAAGACAAGGGAAAAGTTTAGAATGAATGACATTTAGTTAATAAAATGTATTTCAAGAAAGTTTTTTGTTTATCTGTATTTTGTAAACAAATGTTACATTTGGTGTTATAAGTATGATGATGTGAATTATCTGTACATGGAATATGTGGGTTGTTTCAACGTATAATGGGCTTATTTCTCCTATTTGAGTCTAATTGAGTTATAATGATACTTGTGCTAGTGCCCCCAGAAATTCTTGGATTTCTCGCAATATGAGATTGAATGCCATAACTCTTATTTGTATTTTACTTCTTATTGGTGCTGCTGGGAAATCTGCACAGATAGGATCGCATACTTGGTCACCCGATGCTATGGAGGGTCCCATTCCAGTATCCGCTTTGATTCATGCAGCTACTATGGTAACAGCTGGCGTTTTCATGATAGCAAGGTGCTCCCCTTTATTTGAATACCCACCTACGGCTTTGATTGTTATTACTTTTGCAGGAGCTATGACGTCATTCCTTRCGGCAACCACTGGAATATTACACAACGATCTAAAGAGGGTCATAACTTATTCAACTTGCAGTCAATTAGGCTATATGATCTTTGCTTGCGGCATCTCTAACTATTCGGTTAGCGTCTTTCACTTAATGAATCACGCCTTTTTCAAAGCATTACTATTCCTGAGTGCAGGTTCGGTGATTCATGCCATGTCGGATGAGCAAGATATGCGRAAGATGGGGGGGCTTGCCTCCTCATTCCCTTTTACTTATGCCATGATGCTCATAAGCAGCTTATCTCTAATTGGATTTCCTTTTCCAACTGGATTTTATTCCAAAGATGTGATCTTAGAGCTCGCTTACACTAAGTATACCATCARTGGGAACTTTGCTTTCTGGTTGGGAAGTGTCTCTATCCTTTTCACTTCTTATTACTCTTTTTGTTCACTTTTTCTAACATTTCTAGGACCAACTAATTCATTCGGGCGAGACATCTTACGATGTCATGATATTTGTAGGATATTTGGCCAAAGTGTGGCCTGTTAGCCCATACGCGTCATAATTAGTCTAATCAGAAGTTAATGGGAGTAATTGTGGTAGAATGGGTCTTAATGGTCCTTAACGGGTCCATTTTGGTGTTTGTGGATATAATGGGCATTAGACAATATAGGGTTTAATTAGCGCATTTTTTTCACAAGGAATCTAATTGGGTCAAGATGACACTAAATCGGTCATATTTAGTGTACTGAAAGGGGAAGAGTTTCCCCAGGCAATTTTATAAAGACAGTAAAAAGCGTCACCAATACAAAAGCAATCAGCAAGAAAACTACGGCAACTTTGACTCACAAACCAAGTCATAAGGAGCCAAAAATGACAAAGGGAAATACACCAAAACATAACAACACCATATGCCAAAAAGCAAAAGGCAAGAAATACCCAAATGATCCAAAACCGAAAGAGCACACCACCCACGTAATCACATACCATTG